AATCTCTGCAGATGAGAAATGTTCCTGGTCAGCCTCCAAAGCAAATCCTGCGTTTGTAGCACACACTTACAGCATGAAGATCTGGTTCTCTTTCAGTATAGTTATATTAAGCCAAAAGGGACATTTGCTGAAAGATAAAAGCCCATGGAAACTCAGAAAGATAATAAAAGGAGGAATTCTGGTGCATGTGCCCCAGTGAAGAGATGTGCGTGATGAACAGTCTCTTATCTTCAGGATTTCACAGAATCACAGAATCACAGAATCACAGAATCGTAGGGGTTGGAAGGGACCTCTGTGGGTCATCTAGTCCAACCCCCCCGCCGAAGCAGGGTCACCTACAGCAGGCTGCACAGGACCTTGTCCAGGCGGGTCTTGAATATCTCCAGAGAAGGAGACTCCACAACCTCCCTGGGCAGCCTGTTCCAGTGCTCCATCACCCTCAGAGGGAAGAAGTTCTTCCTCGTGCTCAGACGGAACTTCCTGTGCCTCAGTTTGTGCCCATTGCCCCTTGTCCTGTCACTGGGCACCACTGAAAAGAGCTTGGCCCCATCCTCCTGACACCCACCCTTCTCCTGTGTTGTACACAAATGGAATAACTAACAGCCTTGGGAGAACATCAAAGTCTTCCCCAGGCACTCAGTTGACCTTGTTCAAGCCATAAGCACTCTGGTTTGCACCATTGCAGAGCACCTCCAACAACAACAGAATAGCAGCTGAGTCTACAGGACAGCCAATAATAAACAGCAATGTATCTGTGAGTCCATCATATCTTATTCTCTTATTTACTGTAAATGGATAATTGCAAAAGTGGAGAGCAGCTTCAGAGCTGAGGCTGCACTGGGGCTTCCACTTGAAGCCAGGGCTCTGCCTCTTGGTTGTTTAGTAATTTTATAATAAAACTCAAGAGATTTTGTGGTTCCATTGTTAGCTGGAAATGAATGCAAGGCAGGAAATGAGGAAGGGCTTTGCTCTGACAGTCGATTCCTCTGAATTTTGCATGAGTGATGGAAGAATAATTGGTCCAGAATTTAGAATGCCATCACAAAAGACTGTACTACAGGCAGTGAGCCTGTCTGCAGGGCACAGGAGAGACAACCAGCCCCTTTCTTCCCCCAGACTGCTAGCCTGGAAAGTAAGGTTCTGTGCTGACCTGCTGCGCAGCTGACCATGGTACAAGCATCTTCCATGTGGCCTTCTGTTAACAGCAATGCCAGTTCCAGCGATGAGTGTTTTGCAGGATGGACACCTGACTGCTACTAGCGCAGCTGTGACCTCCACATCGTTGCACAAAGGCCATCGGCTTGGGATGGCTGCTGTTCCCTGTCAGCCCAGGGCACGCTGCAACGATTTGAGAGATGAAAGGTTCGATACCCCAACCCCAGGCTCCCTTCAACTCGGCCCTTTGTCCCGTGGATGTATCAATACAACAAATGATCCACGCTTCAGTGAATCGGCACAAATGTGCTACGCAGAGAAGCAGCTTGAAGCTCAAAGAGCAAAATTTGCCGCTAAAGACACTAATGACTCAGCCTGGTTACTCTGAAAGCAGCTTTTGTGGGTGGTAAGAAATGGATGCAGGCACCGTAGAGCCTGGCAATGATGAAAAATAACCCAATACGCTCCAAGTGTTTGTGCTTGATATGGAGAAGAATAGAATTTTTGCACATTTTTCCCACATTTCTGCAAGATTCAGTTATTATAGAGCCAAACTCTGATGAGAACTGAGGTTTATAGCCTTCTGTTACAGGAATTAACGTTATTTTTAAACGTTGGGTCGAGTCAAATTGGGAGCAACTTGTAAAAGCAGCCTATAGGGTTGGAGTTGCCATTTTTTGTGTATTCTGAAAGAAACGACGCACTGCAATTCTACTGGATGTTCGCTATACGCTATACAGAGACTGCCCCTGGCCTGAAGAATTTGCAGAGCAAATAAATGCAAACAGAGCAAAATAAATGAAACAAGAGAAGGTCAGATGAACATGGGAAGATTAATGGTAGTGAGATGGGGGGAATGTTGCTAGGAGGTGGCAGCTGTATGGGAGGAAGTTAGAGCTAAATCCTGGGGGCTGGAGGCAGGACAACCAGATTTCAGTAAAAATACTGGAACCACAGGAGGAGCAAGAGATGGTTTTCTGAAACATTTTTCACTCTACTCCTCTTCCCCTCCCACATGTGCTCAAACTGAACCAGACTTGTCCACAGACACAAGGGCCTTTTCCTTCCTCCTAGCACTTGCACATCAGCATCTTGTAATGGTTGAGAGGGGCTGCACCAGCCTTGCACAAAGCTCCAGGATTTCAGTTTACCTAGGGTCTGCTATCAGGCAAAAGATCCCTCCGTCTGCACGGGGGCTACAGCACAAAACAACCTGGCACATCCTTTGTGCGCAGCCTGGAGCCATCACAGGCATCTTGGATGGGTCCCACAGAGCATCCCTGTAACCAATGTAGCACCTCAAAGGTGGCAACTGTGGCCTCTACAGAAAGCCTGACCAAGAAAGATCACGGAGCGAGGCTTCATTTTGTGATCCTTGGCTGTAAATTTACACTTTCCAAAGATGTTCAAATCCCACTGAAAACATAAAGGAAACACAGCTGAAAATTGCTGGCTGCTGAGTGATTGCAGTCTGAAGAATCCTCCACGTATAAAGGAGGGAAAATATTCTTCACTGAAAGCTTATGGATCTCACCAACCCAGTGATGAGCTTTGGGGGTCAAGCAATTTCATCTTTCACAGAAGCCCAGGAAGAAAATGACTCCTCTGCAAAAAAAAAAAAAGAACAAACTACAAATACCCATTCAGTCAGTGCCAGAAGGGCTGTATGGGCTCAGTGCACTTGACGTGTTTAACTGCTGCAGTGAAGCAAGAGTTGGCTCCTGCTAAGTACTGGCAAAAAACTTTCCCTGGCATCCACTTGTACTGCCAGAGCTCAGCGCAGAGGTTTCCATTTCCAGTCCTGGGGGATGCAAGGGCGAGATGGGGCGTAGAGCTGGGCCGAAGCAGGGAGCTGGCATGCAAAGTCCCCACCCTGCAGAGATTATTTTCTTTTCCAACATATCTATAAAATCTGTTACGTGGGGACTTCTTTTATTTTTTTCATTTTTGCAATTGCATTTTGTATTAAAAATAGACATTTTGATGTTGTTACAGTACTCATTAGCAGAGGTTGTTAATAGCTTGCAGCACCTCAGGCATGACAAAGTTAGATGGAAGACTCAGTGTCCCCAGCATCCCTGTCCCGGGGTCTGCGGATGTGGACACATTTGAGACGGTCTAATCCAGCTCTCATGCAGCAGGTAGTTGCCATCCACTTACTGCAGCTCACTCCCATTTAGTGGGAATTTTGCCTTTTTCTTTGATAGGAAACACCCCCCGGCTATCAGTCTGGGTCTTCACGTCGCATGAAGCACCAAGTGAGATATTTCAATTAAATAAAAAATGACATGTGGGAGGTTTGTGTCTCAGAGGGAAGGAGGAGATGCAGTCCTGGGATATGAGGCTTGCTATACCTCACCACCCTTGTGAGTGCGATACAGCCGGGGAGACCCTGTGCGATTATTTGAGGTCTGATTGCAAACTTATTCCATCACAGACGGCTGAGCGGTCTGCGCTCAACTCACGGGTCGTCATCTCATTCTTGTGCCGTGCTGGGTATAAACAGCAGGAAGAGCAGAAACATTAGGATCTGCCTTATTTGAGCAAACTTTGACTGCTTTGGACAAAGCGATGGAGAATATTTTGCAGGGAACAATCCTGTGGGTGGAAGGGATGATCTCATAGGTCTTTTCCATCAGTGATTTCCAGGATTTTTGTGCCTCTGACACAAAACCCCAAAATAGCAACATTAGTCTAGGTCAAGATAACACTAAAAGCTTGTGTTTAGTTTTGCTTCTGGCCAGGAGTAGATGTGCTATACAGAGGCTGCATGAGTCACTCCCAGATGCTATATACCACACTCCGAGCAAGTCCCGGGACGAGGGCTTTACATCGGGCTGATGGGAACCCACGGCATGCAACACAGTGACCATAGGTATAAACACCAGCACAGACACGGCACAAGCAGGAAAACCCCTTGACAAAATGAGGACTTAGCAAAGCCTTCATCCTGCCATGATCTCCCTCAATAACTGCTCCTACAATTTCTGACAGCTTTGGGAAAGCACAGGCACGTGCATGGGCTTGAGCCCCAACCTCATCAACCTGAGAGTGCCACAAGCCTGGTTCCTGCATCCAACACCAAAGGCTTAGAAACACTCATCTTACTTACAAATAACCTCATAAGCAAAGTCATGGGAAATACGTGCGCACTTCACCTCACCTATCCCAGCTTAATCACCTCTCCTCTCTGGCTAAGCTCATTTCCCAGCTATTGCCTCTGGTTAAGAGGACACCCATGGCCCCTACAAGAGCACGGCCGAGGAGAGGGGACTTGTTGAACCACAGCAGCCTGACTTTATGTACAATAAACCGCTTTACTTTGCAGCATCTCACATTATTTACCCACCAAACGGGCAACAAGGGATACTTGCTTTTGCCATGCACTGAAACTTAATGAAGGCACGCCTCCAAAGCACTCAAGAAAGCACCGCAGCACATCACACAACGGTAGTCACTGGAGAGCCGTGCCCCGGTGGATTGTGCATCTCAGGTCATTAACTAATCCCCTCCGTATGTACAAATAACTCTTATTATTATGAAAGGAGTTACAGACACATCAAGGGAAAACCAGACCCCTCAGGGATCAGTAACTGCCGTCTCACTGCAGTCTTGTGGCTAATACAAATGACAAACATTAGAGGGGATTGAGGCAGATCAAACAAACCTAGCCTTCGAGTGCAGCCACCGAGAAAGCCAGAGAAAGCTCAGTGGGTTTTCTTAGACACCGTGCAAATGCTTCCCTGAACGTACACAAATGAGAAAAATGTTTATTGAAATCATTAATCCACGTACATGATAAAAATGCACTTTTACCATCTGGCTTCAGTCGGTGTGTTTATTACCAGGGGATTTGAGGCAGCACCAGCACTGCCCACTCCTGTGATTCCTGGTCCTTTTCCAAACGCCCTGGCTCCCAGGGCCAGCCATCCAGAGAGGCTTTCCGAGAGGGACAGGGTGGGGAATGGGGTGCTGCTTTCTTTTTTCTTTTTCGGATAAGTTTCTGACCTCCACTGAAAAAAATTTAAAGCATGGAAATCTAAGTTCCATAGCCTAGAAAGTTGATTTGAATATTAAAAACTAAGATCTTTTTTTTTTTACGTCGTGCAACTTTGAAGGCATGAGTCTGAATATTAAGGATTGCCGTAAAGAATGCCCTGGAAAAAACTTCCATTATTTTTCTTTTTCTCTTTATTTTTCTTCTTTTTTTTTTTTTTTTTTCGAGAGATTTTTTTTTTTTTTTCTTTTTTTTTTTTTTTTTTTTTTTTTTTTTAGAGAGAGGAGCCTTACAAGCGGTATCTTTCTCAGTGGTCCGGTTTGATTTTGGGCTGGATCCTAAGGTTGACAGGGCTAGCAGCTGAGTTCTGCTTGTAGTCCATCCTTTATCATTACATCTAAACATGATATCACATGCTATGGGCAGTGGCGGACTCACCACCACAGAGATACAGGGCTCATTTTCCTATCAGCCGTTTTGTGTTTCAACAGCCCACAAACACAATATTGCATTTCCACCTAATGCTGACTCACCGCTTGACTTGTTTGCAGCCCCAGAGGCTCAGCACTAAACCCTTCACGCTCCCTAATGCCCCGGTGCAGGAGAAGCCAGCACCAACACCCATGGCAGACAAGAAGGACACCCAACAAGACCCAACATTGATCTGGCAGCTTTGCCCCAGGCTGCCAGTCACTGGCAGCTGGCAGACTTGCTTTTGAGTCATCCCTGCGCTTTACATACAACATACAGGCTGATGCAAATTTATGTAACTGCACACCCATCGGGTTTAGTCACCCTGTTGTCATGGCATAGACCTCCCCAGAACACAAACCCTTCTACGTGCTCTGGAAAATCCATGCAGCTCAGAAAGTCAGGGCTGGGGTCCAGCTCACCCCATCCCAGGTACAAAGGCAGCACACGGACTATTTTTGCTGGGGGTGAGAGGGTTAAGTCCAGAAACGGGCTTACTCCAAACACGTTCCCCAGATTGTTTTGAGGATTGAGAGGAAAACAAGTATTCCTTAGAGAAAGGCTGCAAATTCGTATCACTGTTTGCTAAATGACCTCTGCAAGAGATCTTAATCTGGCTTTTAATAGGTTTGACAAAGAAATCTCATATGTGGGTGCCAAGGCCAAGTTGGAGGGGGAATTAAAACCCACCTCATACAAACAGGCAGGGGGATCCCTGGAGATCCTCCTGCCTTTGGAGATACCGCAGTCTTTTCATTTATGAAATACATTCATCCTTGGGGACCTAAGCTTACCAACCACCGTTCAGGTGAACATCTGCCAGACCTGTGGTTGCGATTCAACAGGGGAAACACTCAGCAAAGCCACATATTGAGTGATGGAGACCCCAGGACTTTTCTGTGTGCCCATCTCCAACTGCAGTCTCCAGAGCTGGGGAGACACCAGCCCCTAGCTCTGCTGAGCAAAGCTCAGGCTTGCTAAGGCACAACTTGTATTGCACAAAACAGCATGGCTGAGTTTCTTTTTCTAGGGGCAGAAAATATTTTTCTTCCAACATCCTCTGTAACACTTCCTCTACTGAATGCATATTTCAAGCTCCTGGCTTAGTGTAAATCTTCGCAGCTCCATAGGGAATGGGAGCATTATATTGGCTCACATCAGCCTCTTCTGTCTTGAGGAAACCAAGTTTGGGTAATTATAATTTGCCTAATTAAACTCACCTTGTTCTTTCATTGGAAGATGAAGTTTTTCATCTCTTGCCACAACCTAGAGATAAGCAGGGCAGTGTTAAACATCTGCCTCCAGTGCACTGGGCTGAATTCCTGTGCTGGACAAAGCAAATCTTGTACATAACCTGGGACAGATGTAGCCATCAGATTCAATTCTAGATCCTATGTTCACGTTTCCAGTTCTGTGTGCTACATGTGGTTCCTCTGTAGTCTTAAGAGACTACCAATTAATTAAACAGTCCCCCGACTCTATCCCTGCCCACCGCACCTGGGCCAGAGGTACCATTTCGTTTTACAGTCTGGGCACAAGGCATAAAGAAACTGAGATTTGCTGTATCCCCCACAGGATTTCAAAGTGTAAATCCTACAGACTCGTGTTGGTGCTCCCAGATCAGGTGATATCTTCAGTCCCACAAAGCCTTTTCTCAGTGTGTCCAACTGAATTCATGGCGGAGCCATTACCACCATCCAAGTCATCCACAACCTGGGCCTGAGAAGTGATGACAGAACCACCTCCAAAACTGAAGTTAGATGAGTAAGCAGCATCCACAGTAGAAGGCTCTATATAAACAGATACTGTGACACATTGCATTCTGGAGGGTGACAATCCTTCTCCATGGTCAGGACATAGTTAGAAGATGGGGGTTGCACCGTTTGCTGCATCCTCTGCTTTCGAGGCATAGCCTGCAGCTCTCCGCAGAACCACAGTGCAGCAGCCTCTACAGACATGGTGGCTTTGCATGGGAACAACTCCTGGGGTGAGTAGAGGACCCCATCCCCATGGTGGAATGCAAACGGGCCTCCCCTTCCTTACCAGAGCTGAACACATGTCCTAGATTTGATGCACACTGCGCTCTTCAAACTCTCATTCATACGGCTCTTTCCCCAAAACAGAGCCACTGTGACGCATTCTTGAGAGCAGGGCCCTGGTGTTATGTGCATTGTGGAACAAGAGGTACCCACCACAGGGTGCATACACCCACGATGCACAGATTGACCCACAGAGGCTGTGTGCAGGCAAACTACAATGCAGCATCGCTGCCCTGCGATGTGTGGAGGACATGGGTCCAGGGATGGCCATGCGGGAGACACCAGCAGCAGACAGGGAATCCCTTCTGCCCCCGTGGGAGTGATAATTTTTGTGTGCATTTCTCAGGGCAGCTCAGAAAAGCACACAAAAATGAAGGTGCCCTTGGGAGAAGATGAGATGCCAGAGCAAACCAGAGCCTCACTGGGTCAAAGTTGTGGAGTCTGCTTATGCGACAATCTGATCCTATGGTAAAGCAGGAAGAAACGCCACGCTTGCATGATTCATTAGTTTATTATAAGCAAGCTGACTCTTACAGGAGGGCTTCCACCAAAAGCCAGACAGCTGACGAAGGTCTACAGGCAGCCAGATACCACAGACTCAGCACCCGGGGTCAGCGACAGCATGCAGGTTACAGGGAGTCAGGAGGCCTCCCGCCCCCTCAACAGAGCTGGGACCATCAAAGCTGGGCTCCTACAGCCTCTAAGGATACCCCCAACCTCAGCATCTCAGCCTCTGCAGGGAGTAAGCCTTGCCAACACAAATGGCTGTAAACTGAGGGGAGGAAAGTGAAAACAACAGGGAAAGCCAAGGGAAAATGCTGTTTTCTGGTGGCTTTCCATCCCCATCTGTTTGCCCTGATCAAACCCAGAGAGAGTCAAGTGCGAAATGAGATGCCTTTCACCTGGAAAGACACGTCAGAACATTGTAATGCCAATAAAAACACACTCATACCCACATCTACTCTTTCTCTCTTGCGCTTGCTGGCCAGTGACCTCCAAGCTGACCCTAGCATCACACCAGCAATGGCCAGTAGTGCTGCTGTTCTCCTGCTCTACATGACAAGCAACTACTGAGGCCATCCACCACCTCCACAGCCACAAAGCTGTGGGGTCTCTTCCGTAGCTTGGTCTTGGTCATCCTGAAATGCCATCCCTGTCCTAGCCACTGTGAACAACCCTTCACAATGTTGGTCTCCTGCTTCCCAACATGGTTGCTAAGCTGCACCAGAGCCCACAATCCTTTCTTTGCTGTTCTCTATTAGCACACCCTATTAAGAGCTTTCTTGTCAGGAAATTGCTTTCCTATCTGTATTAAAATTAGCTTGGGGGTGGGCGGATTTCTAATGGCTTCGCATTAGGCAGGATTCATATGTTTGCTTTTCAGATTAGACTGAGCATCAAAACAGTTTGTTTTAGGAGCCTCTAGAGCACCTAGTCAGCATGGTACCAAAATCCTGACTTATTAAGGAATCAGCCAATTCCCCTTTACTACACAACCACATATACTGTATGTATGCACTGTAGTCTAGTGTGGGGGCAAATGGACCTGAATGCACACCACACTGGCCTCTACAAATGCAGCAGAATTACCCCCATAATACATACCTCTCGTTTTCCCTCAGCCAGCCCCACACCAGGGCTCTGCGACTCTGTCTCCATGATCTTCTTTCCCACTCTACCCTGTCCACACACTATCTCCACCCTACCTGGGGTGTTGCAATTACCGCCATGCTGTCCTAAATGCTCTGTCCTTCTCATATCGATAAACAGGGCTCTTTTCACAGCCTTTCTCCTACCACCTCCATCCTCATTTCTTTTCTGTCCTTTAGGGAAATAAGAGCAGTAATATTTTAATTTGCATGGGGCTGTTTTGTAAAGTAAAGCTGATGAGAAGGCAAATTATGCCGCAAGGCGTCAACAGCTGCCATCCTCTAGTATTTTAATTGTTAGATACAGACTGACTGCTGGCCGGTCACAGATTACAGAAGCTCCATGCATGTTCCCATTGACCCCTTTTGATTGTTTTCCTTCACAATCACTAGATTTCCGCATACTTAAAAGATGGTCTTGGCTTGGAACAATACAGCTTCAGAAGTTATGAGAGCAGAAGATAGCAACACAGACCCAGAAATGCCATCAAGGTGAGGGTTTCACATTAGGAAAATCAAAAAAAGTCATATTGTGTGAGATCAGTGGTTCATCCAGCCCAGGACTGTCCCCAGCAGAGATGCTCTTCAGGGACAGCAGGTGAGCCTGGTCTCTGCCTTCAGTCTCTTCCACTCTTACTCTTCCAGTACCTGGATTTCTTGGTTACAGGACATTACCAGGAATATCCCTGTACTCCTAGTATCATAGACCTGTTGTCATTGAATTGGTCTAATTCTCTGTTGAACCTGCTGATATCAGCAGGTTTGCCGCCTCCTGGGACAACACACTCCAGAAGCTCACCACCTGCCAAGTACAAAAAATACCTTCTTTCATCTGGATTACTTTCTTTCCTTTCTTACTTTCAGCTGGATACTTTCTTTTCAGTTAGATTAGAGTCACTGGATATTAATCCAACCACTTGCTGGTTTCAACACACCCCCCACTTGCCCTCCCCTCTCCCTGCTGAAGTCCTAGCCCATGCAATGTCCTCATAAGGAGGTCCTCCATCGCTTCAGTCATTTTAGCTCCTCTCTGGACCTCTTCTACCTCCGTCCTGAACTGCACACAGCATTGCCCTGCCATGGGTGTACCAAACCTTCCTACAGCGGCAATGTGACACCCCACACCTTGTTCTCAGCACCCTCCCTGACCACACATAGGGGCTGGTTTCCTTTTTTAGATGTCACTGTACACAGAGTGGGTAACTGCAAACGACTGCCAACCATGACTCCAAGATCTCTCCCCCAGGATGTAATTCCCAGTTCTGGAGTTCAACATCGTGAAGGCTTGGTTTTATTTTGTCTTGATGGATTACCTTACATTTATCTACACAGAAGCTCATGTGCCCCCTGTTTGACACTCAGTCATTTTTATGAGGTCTTTCTGGAGTTCCTCACCATCTGCGTGGCATCTGACTACCCAAAGCAGCTTGGCATCATCTGCAAACCCAATTTTCTGTTTACATTTGACCTGCCATGTTTTACAGCCTTTCCATTCTCTTCATTTGAACAAATTTTCCATTTCTCAGATGCCAGCCATCTCCTGTGTGATGTTCTTTAACTTTCCT